GGGCACTTCAAGTAGTCAAAAGCAATCACAGTAGACAGGGTAAAACTGTCAGAATTCTTAAGACTCTGAGTAGTCTTGACCACCCCCCCAGGAACAGGCTACTCAGGAGAGGTTAGTCAGGAAGACATGCACATTGCGTTCTGGATGCCACTGCCTTTCAGCTGCCTGAAAGACTATGCTAATTTGTTTCTGGACTTTAAGTGACTTCAGTGCTCATGAATTAAAAAATAAACAAACAAAAGAGGCAATCTGAAGTGAGTCTAAATGCATAAATTATTCATGCTTCATATTCTCCCATTTTATATTTTGAAAGTATGTTAAAACAAGGTTTTATTTTAAATAATTTTTCTTTGATCATAGTTTACAGTCAGAGCAGTGAAATTTAGCTGGACAAAGTATTTATCGTTATCTGTTTATACTGCAACTCAAAATGTGCTAGACAGTTTAGAGCAGTGGTTCTCAATCACCCCTGCGAGTACGCAGAGTTCTTCCAGGGGGTACATCAGCTCATGTAGATATTTCCGTAATTTTACAACAGGCTACATAAAAAGCACTAGTGAAGTCAGTAAAAACTAAAATTTCATATAGACAATGACTTATTTATATTGCTTTAAATACGATATACTGAAATGTAAGTACAGTATTAATATTCCAATTGATTTCTTTTATAATTATATTGTAAAAATGAGAAAGTCAGCAATTTGTCAGTAAGTGTGCTGTGACATTTTTGTATTTTTATGTCTTATTTTGTAAGCAAGTAGTTTTTAAGTGAGGTGAAACTTGTGGGTATGCAAGAGAAATTAGACGCTTGAAAAGGGTCTGTAAAGGTTGAGAACCACTGCTTTTCAGAACATACAAAAGGATGTGGTCTCTATGTGGAGTAGATGTCAAAGTTGTGCAAGGATGTGGCTACAGAGACCAGAGGTCAACCTCCATTTTCGAAGGTGTGGTTCTGGACTGCAGAGGACAGAACAGACTGTGGTTGGCTGCATCTTACAGCAAGAGTTGGTCAGAAATTTTCTGACAAAACTGTTTAGTTGGAAAATGCCAGCAAGCCAAACCTAAATTTTTCACAAAAGTGAGTTGGGTTTGATTAACTTTCTCCAAACCACTTCTGAAACCTGCCTGGTTCCCTGGCAGCTCTCTGCCATGCGGTCTGCCCAGGGACTGGGGGCCACAGGCTTTGAGGGGCTGCAGCTCCAGGGTAGTCAGCATGGCAGGGTTTTCGGGATCACTGCCCTGGAGCCAGACGCCAGGAAGTCCTGGGAGACCCAGCTCCAGCCAGGGCTCTGAGGATATGTCTATACTGCTGCTGAGAGATGTGATTCCCATTGTGGGTAGACAGACTCACAGTAGCTCAGCTTGAGCTAGCATGCTAAAAAGATCAGTGTTGATATTGCTGCCCAATCCCATGGTCCGAGCTCGTGCGGCTAGCCCAAGCCACCGCCAGTGCTGCAACACCCACGTTGCTATTTTTAGTGTGCTAACTCGAGCTGAACTAGTGCAAGTCTCTCTGCCTGCGCTGAGACTCACACCTCCCAGCTGCAGTGCAGGCATGCGCTCAGAGTCAAGGTTCCAGGAGCCTGGAAATTCTGTGGGCTCTCGGGGCTTACAAAGTCCCAGCTTCTGGCAGTCAAGTAACTTTACTCACATGAGTAGCCCCCAGTAAATCTAACAGGAGCACTACTGATGTGAATACAGTTAATTAAACACCTAAGTGTTTGCAGGATTAAGCTAACGTAATGACCTAGTGACTGAGAATAATAAGCCATAAACAGCAAGGATGAGAAGGACAGTGGTTACATCCATCAGATCTCACGGTTACTCAGTTATGATCTGCAAACATCTTGATGTTTGTTAGTTTTTAATGGTGAATGAATTCACTCCTTGTAGGCAATATGGAAGCAGTGGATATTTGAATGTGGAGAGTGCGTGGCTTTGCAAATAAGGATTTGGAGGGTGTTCCATGCAATGGCCTTGATCCTGTAATCTGATCCACGGGTGTTGACTTCTGATCTGCACGGATGGACTCTTACCATGATACAAAGTTCCACTGAAGCTGATTTAGTTCTCAATGGGTAGAAGGGGTCCACCTGTGTGAATCAGATTGCAAAGTCAAGACCATAGGGGTTGCATGGAGCTAGACCCAGAGTTGGAAGGAATGATGAGAATGCTGTTCCTGGTTTTAAGAAATACCCCATTCTGTACTTAAATATTCCCAAGGATTGTAGTGATACACTTTGTGAGATGTAGCGTGATTGGCCATTACTATAGAATACCATAATATTTGTGAACTAAACATCACATGAAAGAATGTTAAATACTATTAAATTAAAGACATAATAATTAAAACATTATTCCACCCTCTTTCCAATGTTATGAAGATCAACTTTTGATCTAAGTCATTCACAGAGGGTGATGTGGGGGATATAGCCTTAACAGCGTATTCTAGGAGAACTTCTCCCAAGCATGTTTTTTAAAAAATAATACCTGTAAACATTTTGCACTTCAAGAAGTGTCTATAGGAGCCAGGGATAAAAGTCATCCCTGGCCAGAATGGTTTTTCAGTCTCCAGAGGACAGGATGAACCACAGGCAGGGAAATCCCTCCATCTCTGTTTCAGTTCAAACACTGGTGAGGACCGTAAATAATTAAACATTAGGAGTTAGTGGGAAAGCTATAGAGGATTATTGGAACAATGCCATTTTTCTTTTTATTTAAGAAAATTCTTTATTTTGTAGCATTGTTGCTACTAGAACCCCTAACTAGATTGTATGGTTGACAAGAAGCAGAGCCATTGATTTTTGTCTGATGCTTATATTCCTGTATTTGAACCTTCCACAAGCCTTTGTGTAACAACTCAGAAGCAATAATTTAATGTCATGTGGTCCCTCCTCTCCCCACCCCCCGAACCATGGGATGTAAATTTTAGGCTTTTAAAAGTTCTGTTTTTAAAGGCCATTAGATAACTGTCCTCATAAAAACTATTAATACAGACCCCACAGCCAATTGTAAAGCTAATTTTAATCATGTTTTGTGCCAACATAATTTCTGATGCCAGATTTTTATGCCAAGCATGAACTTCAATTTGAGCTCTGTACTTTAACCTGCAGTTCATAATTTTGCATTCAGCTGTATAGGGGTTTGGCTGTGGCAGTTTGAATGCTTCCACTTTCAAGGATCTAAGCCATAAATGTTTATTAAAAGAATCTATAATGAAATCAGTTTTGTTATTTTTTTAATGGCTGCCTTGAGTACGTTGGATGACTGAATGCAGGTTGTTAATCATTAAGTACTCATGTTACAAAAAGTGTTTGATAGTATTGCCATCTAGGGGCTGAACTAAATTCTCCATACTGAAATAAACTGTAATTGAACAGGTGCTGCTATTGACAATATACATATGTTTTTGCTTTATAGCCCACATGCTTTCCATGTTTCTTATGACAAAAGATATCTCTAAATGTCCCACAGCAGCCAACGCTTTTTTATATATAATCTGTTCGAGGTGATTGCTATTTGCATTTGAGCTTATGCTTTTTTGGCAGTGATGACTGGGAATTCCTAACAAAGAATTATATTTTTTGCATTATTAATCTTGTCAGTGTTTGCCCGGTTTAACGGGAAAAGGAATAATTTATCAGAAAAGTATGTTTATCATCTGTATTTGTGTCATCTTCAGATTTAATATTTATAATGGTCATTCGGATGTGGTGCTGTATTTATCTAAAGCACTAACTTGTTGTGGGGAAATAACTATTTAAATATTTATGATCTAACTTTTAATATTTAAAAAAGAAATTAATATTTCTGTAAAATTTGTATCAGTCTGGTAGCTTAACAAATGTTTAAATATTAAACAATTTCTAGTGTTAGCATTTAACAACTTAATATGACTTACTGAAGCAAGGAAATTGACTTTAGCAGGTTTTGCTACATAAAGGAAACTAAATTATCAGTCGTTTTCCTGACATCTATGTAATCAGTGCAAAAGCAGAATTAAATATATTAGTGGCCAATGGAGAAACTCATCCTGGTCCCCAATGAGATTTATAGCAAAATTTGTTAGTCCTCCTGCTTATTTCCAGCCATCTTCTCTTCAAAGTGGGTTGTTCAAATTGTTATCTATATTTCTGAACGCTACACAGACCATCGTTTTAAGGAAATGCAGAGACCCAAGTATATCTTATCTTGTGAACTTGTTGTTTTGGTAACATCTTAACCATGTGAATTATGGGAGACATTTTACTCCATTTCTAATGGTGATTTAACCTTTAGGATTGTTATGTTTTCAATATGGGAACCAAACTGTACTCTCAGTGATGCTGGTGTACATCCAGATTACATTTCTTTAATTTGCCAGAACATTATGTGATACCAATCAGTATGGTATTCACATGATTCCTGAATACACTATGGAAGGTGTGTGATTAGGGTGACCAGATGTCCCGGTTTTATAGGGATAGTTCCAATATTTGGGGCTTTGTCTTATATACGTGCCTATTACCCCTTACCCCCTGTCCCGATTTTTCACACTTGCTGTCTGGTCACCCTATGTGTGATGTACAAAGAGCCACTGTGACTAGCATAATACAGATCCTAGTGTCTTAATCCTTCAAAGTGCTGACCGCTCTGGTCCTGACCCAGCACAGCCTTTGAGTGCATGCTTAACTTTAAGTATGTATGGAACTACTCACATGCTTAAAGTTGAGCATGTGCATAAGTGCTTTGCTAGATAAGGTTCAGAGTGCTCTGCACCTTGCTGAATTGAGCTTACTGAGAAGATCTGCTCCCTACAAACCACAAGAGTTTCTATTCAAGGCTTAGCTGCAGTAATGCATATTCAGTGAGCCCAGGTGCCAGATGTGGTACTCTGTGAAATGACTGTGATATCTCTGGAGTCAGAGCACCAGTTGCCCAGTCCAATGCTGGTGTAAACCACAAACACTGATTATTGCCATTTAAACTAAATGAGAAAATGTTCTGTATTCCTGCTGCAGGGAACAAAGCATCAGGCTCACTTGTTTGGACTGAAACCTTTTACCACATATCACATTAACATTGTGGCTGTAAACAACGCTGGCCAAGTTTCGAGTCCCTGGACTTCTGTGACCACGCTAGAAGCTTCACCTAGCGGTCTGAGCAACTTCACTGTAGAGAAGAAAGAGAATGGCAGGGCATTGTTAATTAAATGGTCAGAGCCTTCCAAACCCAATGGAGTAATTAAGGTAATCTTGATCCTGAAACCTCATTCATCACAGTTAAAAGGAAAATGCCAAATATCATGTTTGAAAACTTTTGCTAAAATTCACTAGACTTAAAAAGGAGTTCTTTGAAGACACACACACACACACTCACAACTACACAAGCATGATGTGATGAAGAGATTGAGCAATGCTTACTTTCTAGGTATATGCAAATTTAGATATTTATTACTAATATGCTTTCTTGCAACTATGAGTATCTAGAACACTGAAGAAATCCTGCCCTTCAAAGTCACAGGAAAGAATATTTTAAAGGCTATATTTTTAGGCCTAATGAGTTTAATATTGTTCTTCATTATATAGAACAGTGTCTATTAAAGGGGTATTTTCAGCTTAATTTAGTTTTATGCCCCACATTAGGTTTTGTTCCAACAAAGTTCAATAGAAATGTTGCTATGAAGTTTGGGGGTTTCTTTTAAACAGTTTTTGTTGGGGTGTAAATATTAATCTGCAAGGTTTGTAATCTTTATGTTGTGGTATTAGAGCCCTGAAATGAAATTGACTAGAAAGTAAATATAATCAAAAGTGAAACTGACTAGTATATTTTCACTGCTCAAGATGAGTGAAATGCAAAAAGCAAACAAATCAGCATTAATTGTGAAAAGTAGATTAAAATATTCTTTCAGCGTTAACAAGCTAAGATGTTGTTAATAAGGAGTTAAGGAAATTAGTTTCTGGGTCACAAATTAATAATCTTTATAAAGTTATGAAGATAAACATTGTATCTAAATAAGTATCTCGCCTAGAATTCATTTGCAAATTCTCCAACTGATGATTTCCCTTTCTTTTTTCTCTCAGACGTACAATATTTTAAATGATGATAATCTGGAATATAGTGGTTTATCTCGTCAGTTCCTGTTTAGACGCTTGGAGCCTTTCACACTGTACACTCTAGTACTTGAGGCTTGCACTGTGGCAGGTTGCACTCGCTCTTCACCACAGCCAGTCCAAACAGATGAAGCACCCCCTGCGTCTCAGCTGGCACCTGTAATCCAGTCAGTTAATGCTACCAACATTGAACTGAGCTGGTCTGAACCAATTAATCCAAATGGAAAAATAATTCACTATGAAGTTATTCACAGATGCACAAAAGAAAATGCTTCAGGGAACAGAGCAACAACAGTAGAGGAGAAAATTGTTTTCACAGAATATAACACTGAAAATAATACATTTAAATATAATGATAAAGATTTACAGCCATGGACGAGGTATGAATATAAAATACGTGCATGGAATTCGGTGGGCTATACCGATAGCTCTTGGTCAGTGGCGAAGACTAGTCAAGCTGCCCCTAAAGGTCTTGCTACACCTAGGTTAACCTATGTATCAGTTAACCCTCATAAAGTGCTCATTTCATGGCTCTCCCCAGAAGAACCAAATGGTGTTCTCCAATCATATAGGCTACAAAAAAATGAGGTGTTCTATCCTTTCAGCTTTGATGCTACTACTTTCAACTATATGGATGAAGACTTACAGCCTTATTCAGTGTACAGTTATGCAATAGTTGCTTGTACTATGGGAGGCTGCTCTACCAGTGAACCAGCCAAAATCCAAACTCTAGAGGCAGCTCCAGCATTAGTGAACCCTCCATCTCTGCAGGCTATCAGTGCCACTCAGATTAATGCATCTTGGTCACCACCCCAGATTCAAAATGGAGAAATCACGAAGTACATATTAAAATTAAGTGATGAAGAGTATTATGTTGGGAGAGGTTTATCAAGACTGATTTCAAACCTACAGCCTTGCACACAGTATGATTTCACGCTGGCTGCCTGTACTAATGGAGGCTGCACATCTAGCATATCCCAATCTGTTTTGACAATGGAGGCTCCACCACTAAATATGGAAGCCCCCAGGTTGCTAGTCACAGGATCAGAGTCAATAGAAATCACCTGGAAAACCCCAGTGAATCCTAATGGTAAAATCAGAAGTTATGAGCTGAGGAGGGATGGAGCTCTTATTTATTCGGGTCTGGAAACTCGGTACCTTGACTTCACACTAACACCAGGCATGGAATACAGCTATGATGTAATTGCAAATAATAGTCAAGGAAGCACCACTAGCCCACCAGCTAAAATTAGAACCCACCCTTCTGCTCCATCTGGAATGTTACCTCCTCGACTGCAGGCATGGGCCCCAAAGGAGATTTTGGTGGCCTGGGATCCTCCTGCAAAAGTCAGTGGTGATATAAAAAATTATACAATCTCTATTCGTGAGCCTGCTGAAATGGGAAAGAAAACTGTTTACTTTGACACCTCTCACATTTCTTTTGTTAGACAGTCCTACGTTGCAGCAGACCTAAAACCCTACCATAGGTAAGTTCTGAATACTTAGTTTTGTTGAATGAATATCACAGGATAATTCAAAAAGTTTGAGACTGGGGTAGTATTTAAACCTTTCCTAAAGACTGAAAAATGAGGTTTGAGGGGCGGGGTCTCACATTTTCTTCAGTCTAACAGATGGTTAGATCCCTAAAGTTCTCATTCCCACAAAGTCCACACTAAGACAAGATAAATAAAAATCAACTGTCTACCTTTTCAGTAAAGTATGCAAGGTCAATCTAGGGTACAAGCAATGCAAGGGACAACTTGGGGCTCCTTTGCAGACTCAAGCTCACAGCTTGCCCAAACCCCACACTTTTGCAAGTCAGTTGTATTCAAGAAGTTTTTCCTTGTTTTATAAACCGAATTAAAACATAAAACAAAGATCTGTGGGGCAGCTCATCTCTGGTGTATCTGCACTAAGGACAGTTGAGTTATACCAGGGATACATTTTTGTGTGTGTTTAAAGCACAGACTTGCTGTTTAGATTTTAGTGCAAACTATATTTAAAATAGTGTACCAGATTTAAGTGAGAACAAACTTGCTTGTTTTTGCAAAAGTATCTTTTTTTCAAATTCTTGATTATTTAATCACCACCTCTTATCTATTTGTGTAGCAGTTCGTTTTTATTCCTTAAATTCTTTCTACAAGGTACCTGTAAATAATCTAAATCCTGAGAGAGACTAATAATACGGTATAGCTAATGTTTTGTAAAATCAAGGCAATAGTCCAAAAAGACAAAGATTATATAGCTCTTCAAGTACTTTCAATTCAGCTATTATTGTAATTTAGTGATGTTGACCATTTGATCTCCCTGTGATATTATCTCTGATACGTAAAGAAGGAAACAGAGGCCTCATCGGTGTATAATTTCTTGGAAGCTTTGGAGTCTGGTTTATGTGCTTTAGCTTGAGCCATTCCCTGGGAACTCTGCTGGGCCATGTTAGAGCAGCAAAGGGCCAATGACTTTATGCTAATAAATCCACTTTGTGATACCGAATACCTCCAACCTGGCCTTCTGCACCCAAAGAAAGACCTTTCTGGCCAACATTAACCCAGTTACATGCTGGTTTATCAATCATCAAGATGCCTCAATCCCAGCCAGCAAAATTTTAACTCACTCAATCAATTATTTTTGTCTTGGACCTGGTCTCTTGCCATTTGGAATGGTGCATCTGTGTGTGTCTCTATTTGATTAATGTTTTCCTTCCTTCCTTTTTTTTTTTTTTTAATGTTATCTGTTTGTGTCTTTAATACTCTCTCCAGCTGATCATTTACAGAATAGCTGTCAGTCAGCCTGGGAAAGCCGTCCCCCTCAATGCCACTGACCTCAGAGCACATGCTTAGTGAAACTTGTCACTACCAGGCCTCACTCTCCAAACTTGGACATAGGGGAAGTAGGATATAAATTCTGTCTGAGTGATGCAGATCAAGTGGAAGATTGCTGTGCTCTGTGGCCAATGGAGACATTTTTATCTCTTGAGTCTGGGTGACAATGGGTGGGTCACAATGTCCATATAATTTCTCTGGCAAACACTTGTGGAAGATGTTTTCTGTTTAATAACAAGAAATGGCAGACTGAGAGAAATTAAAAGCAGACATTTCACTTTAAATGGAAACATAAACACTACTGGATCCCATTTCCATTAATAATGACCCTGTCCAACAGCCCTTCCTCGTCTGTGTGGTCCCATTTATTTTACTCACACAAATGAGGACAGCCACATGAGGGTTGCAAGATCAGACCCACAAGAGGAAATTACATCATCCCTTCACCACACTAATGTGAATTGCTTTCTTCCTCAAAAATATGGACAAAAATAATTAAGGAAAACTCCTCTCTTTCTAAACAACCTTAATTGATTCTAATCCTATGTGTAGTGCATATGTACAGTTGTAATGCCCTTATTGACTGGTTTCTGATTTGTGTTTCCAAAGATATGAAGTACAAGTTCAAGCATGCACATTGCAGGGATGCGCTACTAGTGAATGGGCATCCATACAGACTCTGGAAGCACCCCCTGAAATGCAGCCTTCCCCTCTCATAGAGATGCAGACAAGCTCTGATGGATTCCAGTCAGTCGCGTCTATTCTGTGGACTGGTCCACAGCAGCCAAATGGGAAGATTTTATATTATGAGCTTTACCGAAGACAAGCAACTCAGACCCACATAAATTTAGACCTGGTGCTTGTTTATAATGGGACTTTAACATCCTTCAAAGATGCCAAGTTGCTGCCTTATACAGAATATGAATATCAGGTATGAAATGACGTAAGTTAGCTACAAGGTGTACAGATATAATTAAGATTTCTGTACACCTCAATAACAAGAGATGCTTGTTCATTATAATTATAAAATAAAATGTTTCAATTTTAGTTGTAATAGTATTGTTGTACTTAAACAATTATTGCACATTTATTTAAAATAGATCAGACCTTGAAGATAACATTCCACGAGGAATAAATTCATTCAATGCTCTTTTTTCATTTCTTAATCAAAATCATAATTCCAATTTGTCTGCATTTGTGTCCTTTGCACATCAGAGCTTTCCGCCACTTTAGTGGTACCAACTTATTTTGAAGTGCCAGTTGCTAAAAGGTAGCTTGGTCTTTTTAGTAGCTTTATTTCAAATGTGCAAATATTTTTATTTTTACTGTTACCTTAGATTACCTTTTATGGAAGTGGGATGGACTGGTTTTGTTGGTGGATTATTTTATTTTAGGTGGTAGGATTACAAATATTTGTCTCACGGTAAATTTAAAAGTTAATTCACTGTTGATGGATTATTTTTATTTTGTATGTTCATATTCATTTTGTACTTGTTACTTTTCTTTTGGGTTAAAGGTGTAGCTACGGGACCAATTCTGCTACTTTTGCTGAGTTTGAATAGTATTTTACCTCAGTATGCAAATAGTCCCATTGAAATCAATGTGACTGTTTGCAGGGAAAGGTACCACTCAGTGAGTGTAAGTAAGGGTTGCAGAAATGGGCCTTCTAAAGTAATCCTCTTTGATTGCAAAAGTCCCATGACCCTGAGGCAAGTGAGTTTCTTTGGCCTGTAGTTTACCATTAATGTCAAAGTCACCAGGGCCGGCTCTAGGACTTTTGCCGCCCAAGGCAAAAACAATTTTGGCCGCCCCCCGCCCCGCCTCAACTCCGCCCCTTCCCCAAATCCCCAGCCCTGCCTCCTCCCCCCAGGCTCTCAAGCCTAGGAGGGAGGGAGGGAGGGGGAGCAGCGGCGCGCGAGACGGCCGCTCGGGATCTCCCCCTTCCTCCCAGGTTTGAGAGCCTGGGAGGGAGGGGGAGACCCTGAGCCGCCGCGGCGCACAAATCAGCTGTTTCGCGTGCCGTGGCAGCAGCGGAGGTGAGCTAGGGCGGCCGGGGCACATTTTTAGGGGCAGCATTCTGGCGCCAGCCATGCCGCCCCTAAAAATTTGCCGCCCCAAGCACCAGCTTGTTTTGCTGGTGCCTAGAGCCGGCCCTGAAAGTCACATATCCCTGCATATTGTTCCTTTATCACACAGGATTACTAGTAATCTGTGGCCATATTTGATTTCACATCTATGCGTTTAACTTCCATTGGTCCCCTAGCAATGTATCATTTTCTGAAACTCAGTTCATGTTTTCAAATGAATCTGGTGAGTTTACAACCTCACCAAAAACTATCCCTGGATGTGTTAGCAGTAAATGTAAATATGAGTAGTTTCATAGCAAAGTGATCACGTTTTCACAGACATGAACCAGTATTCTCCTCTGCCCCATAACATGACACCAGTGGGTCCTCACTCTTGGTTAAGTGCTGCATAATATATTGTGCGTTTTGTGATCTTCAGTACACCTTGAGTCTCTCCCTCTTTTTTGCTTATGTAAATTGAGTTTTTGAACTTCAAGAATTGTTTTGATTTGAGATGAAAGCTGATGTATTCACAGGGCCGCGCTGTTGAGAGTTTCCCTCTGCCCCACCCTGTTCATCTATGTGGACATCTGTTGCACATATCAGAGCCTTTTGCAGCTCTGTTCAACTGCTAGTGCAGTGTTCTTCTTGCTGGTTTGGGCCTATACAGAGTTATTTCTAAGGAACTACATTGTTAATATGAACAATCTTTCAAGACTGCTCCTGACTATGCTTTGGGGCCTGGAGGAAGGAATACAGTGGCTCTCCTTGTCCTCCTCCAGTGGCTCCACAATGGTCAGGGACAGGACCCAAAAGGAACAATGGCAAGGATGACAGAAATGGGTTTGGAATGATAGCAGAGAAATGGATTCACTACAGTGTGTTTAGAAAGATCTTTATTACCAATATGGTGATCTAGATAATCTTTTCTTTTGCCTCTGGTGTTGTTGAGATCAGTGAAAGAGATACTAGATAGCCCCAGGTTGAGAAATGTAATGACTTTCATTGGTTTTGTTCTGAGGAAAAGGACTGGTATCTCTGAGCAGAGTGTTTCCAGTCACGAATGATGGGGCTCCAATTATTGGATTTCCTACTGTTGCTAATAATATAACTCCTTCCTTAAACTTCAGTGAACTGAACAGCACTAGGGACACTGCGAGGGTTCTTTCCAAAATAGAACACACCACTTAGAGGCTGGAAACTTTTCACGCTTAAAATACTTGAGGGAATATTTTCCTTCAATTAAACCTTTTTTGACCAAAACTGTTAAACCTTTACTGGCAACTGCGTGTGTGTCAGGGATGAAGTCTTTGCATTTGTGTGTCAAGTATTGGTATTTGTATTCAGGTTTGCCTTTTTCAGATGTTCTTTAATCCCTCAGGGACCCATATATGGGCCCACAGTAATGTGAAATCTGTTCTCCTCACGCTATATTAATTTCTTGATGATAAAATTGCTCTAAAGAATACCAGATCTCATCACTTAATGTGGCCCTGTATGTGCCCTAAGGTATTAAAAAAAATCCTCAGAAATGGAAACCCAAGGGCAAGTGTGTGTGTGGGGAGGTGGGAGAGGAGTTACAATAGAAAATAGTGGTGATTCTCCTCTAGCTGAAGAGGTGGAGTCCTGTATTTTCTGAGCTGAAAGTCCTAGGCTCTGTTCCTTATGCCACAGTTTAGCTTACTGCTATGTTGCCTCTATGTTTGCCGCCACAGATTCATGAGCTGGATATCCCCTTTCTTTTTCAAATGACTACAGTTCCACCTTCGTTAATCCCCCCCGCCGCGCGCCCCATGCTAGATGCTGCCACTGCCTCTTTATGCTTCCAAAAATTCTTGAATGCACATTGTGTTCTTCCTTGCACCAGCCTTTAATTACTTGGTATCTCAATCAGAAGCTCAATCAGTATGGCTTTCAAGTTGTTTTTCATAGCACAGAGACTGTTTGAGTCAAGGGTTTTAATGATTTATTGATGATGTCTGACTCAGGTTGTCTGTATGTTCTAATTTTTCTGGACCGAAGTGCTGCACTTGAGGCAGGAAGAAACTCTATCTTTTATTTTGGTTCCACTCCGCAACTGGGCTGGGCTATCTGGCGAGGCCCTGAATTGGTTTTGTTCCTTCTCGGCCAGCAGCAATATATTTTGTTCCAGTGAGAGATTTGTGTGTGTGTATTCCTCTTCTGCTGATGTCACTTGTGCATCCCTCTGGGATCTCTTCGTAGCCCTTCCATTGTTGACAATTTATATGTTGCCTGTGAGACAAATTATTCATAAGTATAGGGCTTGGCTTTCACTATTATGCTGATGAAACCCAGATTTATATTTCACTTAAGCACAGTATTGATTCTGCTGTCTCTGCATTGGAGGCTTGTTTGCTGGACATAAAACTTTAAATGCAACTAAATTTCCTCCAGCTGAATGCAGATAAAATCAAACCTGGGCCCTCTGCAGCACTTCTAGAAATGTTGTTAGTTACCAGGATTCAGTTTGATGGATATAACATTAACATCTAATCTGAGGTCAGAAATTTTGGCGCCATTCTTTTCTGCTGATGTTTTACTGGAAGCTCATATAATTGGGCCTGCCCATCAGCCCTGTGGTTAGTGTTTTATAAGGGCAGATCAGGGGAACTTTTCAAAAGTACCCGAGTGATTTAGGACCTGCATCCCTAATTCTTAGGTACTTAGGGGCCTGAGTCTAATTGAAAGTCAGTGCATGTGTCACTTTTGAAAATAGGACTTACGCTCCTAAGTCACTAAGGGCCAGATTTTAAAGGTGTTTAAAGGGCCTATGTGCCTAACTTCTATAGATTTCAAATGGGAATTAGGCACTAGGCACTTTTGAAAATCCCACTAGGTACCTATCTACCCCTTTAGGCACTTAAATACCTTTATAAATCTGGCCATTAGGTGCTTTTGAAAACTTTACCCCATATCCTTAGCTGGTATAAACCAGTGTAGCTCCATGGAGTTCGACAGACCTACCCTGACCTATACCAGCTGAGGATCTCGTGCAGCATGTTTAGTCTCTTGCTTCCTCACCCTTGGGACTGGGAGCACTCTGGAGACAGCATGCCCAGACCCTTAGGAGGAGAGAGCATTGAATGTTGCTTTACAGCAACCCATCTGGCCAGTCTAAGCGCAGCAATGATCCATCCAGTTCTTCTCAGCAGAAGGACAGTGTCTGTGGTGAGCACATGTAAGAGGGGGAGCTTAGTTCTTTTCCGTTTGACAGCAGAGTTATTGGTGTATAATGCATTCGTCCTGCTCCTCAGAAAGGTTGTGGTACATTGGTCCACCTCTTCATAACCCCTGAATTATGTAGGAGATCCAGGAGAGAGACTTGGAACCTCATTTTTCTGGTACTCTCTGGCCCCTTCCTTCACCTTAATGTTTCTTTCCTGGCTTAGGGACACATCCTGCTCTCTCCTCTGCAAATCCTGACTATCCAAAGGGCAGCAGAAACAACATTGTTCAGCTCCCCCACAAGGATGGAAGAAGCCCTTTCTAGGGACCCTTACCCCTACATGTGGAGCTGTGCTCTGTGGGGAGTACACAAGGAGTGTTGGGGGCTGCTGGATCTGCAGCTATGAAGACACATCAGCCTACCAATTTCTCCATGGAGGGAGGCTGCAGCAGCTGCTGAGGAGTCCATCCATCCCTGACCCCTGCAGAGCAGTCTTGCTCACAGGTCATTTACTGGGGCTATATGAAGGGTCCGGGAAATGCACTTGGAGAAATATCTGAGAAAGTTGAGAGGCATGTTTTGGGTGCTCCTACAGGACCCTCGAAGGTAGATACGGCTTGTATTCCTAATGTTGTTCGGGGGCAGGATGTTTTGTAAGTTTGTTTAGCTGCTTGTATA